CACTTACTGTATGCCGTATAGTTTAACATTCACAAGTAAAGCACTAATTATGTGGAGAAAAGTGAGACATGCCTGTTCATATCAGTCGCGCTTCTGGGGTTGTTGTGGAGCTATACATCAGAGTAAGAATGTTAATTGGAGCTAAAAAAAAAAAAATCACAATCTCCACCTACAGTAATTGCTGCTTAAACTTTGGTGTTAGTTTCACTGTTAGTTAGAAGTAGCAACATTAAGTTTCCTGGTTGCTTGCCAAATGTAAGAGATAAGCACATTAGCAGGGTGAGAAAATATGTCCCTTTCTTACACTGAATCAAAACAACAAAAATTCAATTTAAATCTAACATTGAGTCAAAAATTGTAACCCAGGGCGATGATTTATGAAAGAGTCATTTCAAATGATATCTTTACCTGATTAGATGTTATAGGAAATCCCCCACAGGATGAAATAAGAAATGATAAGATGGTACAATTATATTGTTTACAAATGATTATATAACTGGGTTAAATATTCATTTAGTCCTCATCAGATAATGAATTGGTTCACCTAAAGTATGCAGCAATTTCATTTACTGAGAATGCTTATTTTTCTTTTAAAAGACAATAATAATCATTTTGTTTTAATCAATCTGATTAATATATTGCATGATTGAACAAAAAGTATAAAACATTAATTTAGACCAACATATATTTATCTTCTAGTAATCTGCATCATGGATTATTCTTTTGAATCTAATCTTTGGAATCCTTACTGAAAACCTAGTCTGCTGAGTCAAACCCATAACCCAACACATAGACTGCAGATATTGCAAGTTTGGGCAACTAAATTATGCATGTTAACCTTATATGCAAAGCTTTTTACAATAATGCATGAAGTATATGTACATCCATCCATATTCTACTGCTTAGTCCAAGTCAGGGTCGCTGTGGGGCCGGTACCTATCTCCGGCAGTCTATGGGGGAGAGGCGGGGTACAATCTGGACAGGTCGCCAGTCTGTCACAGGGCAACACAAAGATACACATAGACGCAAAACCATGCACACACACTCTTACCTAGGGACAATTTAGAGCAAATTAACCCAAAAGTCATGTTTTTGAACTATGAAAGCTGGAGTACCCAGAGAGAACCCCCGCATGCACGGGGAGAACATGCAACCTCCGTATAGAAAGACCACGGTCCAGGATTTAAACCCAAACCCTTCCTGCAGGCAACAGTGCTACCCACTGCTCTACAGTGCAGCTTATATATGTACATGATTTTTCTTTCCTTTTTATCATAAAGCTCTGCGAGCATAAAAATACAAAATGACACTATCCATTTATTAAAGGATTTGGAGACCCAGGGTCCAACAGTAAGTGACACTGATTTATTGGAGGTGTATTCTGTATTCCTAAATATAAAGACTTCAGGCTGTGTGATTTATTGTTATAGTTTCTGACTGCGTTATTGCTGCTTTAAGTGTGTCATTGACAGATGTTTGACTGTGTAGGAATGAAAATGGATTGTAAATTGCAACGGCGGGAAACAAAATAATCCTGTTTTGAGTTTCAAAGGAAGCCACATAAAATATTTCTTTGATTTTTAAGTGCAGCCTTTTACTATGTAGACTACCGAGAAGACATAATTTACTCAGATCTTTCTTTGCAATTGTATGAAATAAATTTTGCAAAACTGCTCCTTGCTCTGCGTCCTAGTGTCACACTGAATATATCTACATGAGTAATTCCAGACTGGAAAGTTGGATAATGAACGTGTAGCAATCAGAAATAATTCTTCCAGCACTCATCAGACTCTGTAGGCCTTTGAATCTGACTGAGAAAGAAAAAAAACTACCCTACTTGGTGAGCCCAACCCCAATGAAAGTAGATAAGGAAGTGCTCCCTCACAAAGCAACTTAAGAGGACAGCACTTAAAGGTTTGTTTCTCCACAATGCCCCCGAAGAGGGCCGGCCTGCCTGCTCCACTTCTCCCCTGACTGACAGCACACTCCAGAGACGACATGCCGCAGGACACGCGCACTGATCCAGCCTGACATACCTGACCTTTCCTGGGCCGCACAGCTGACTCACCGTGCGCCGCGCCCTGTTCGGCTGAAAAGGCCACACAAGGCCACGCGGGGGATGCCATCACAGCTTTCCTTCACCTCCTCCTACTGCCACCAGAGGAGCCGGCAACTTGTATGTGTGAGGAAAGTCAATCTAAGAAGTGGCCACCCACAAAACAAGGGCTGGGTGTCTGAATTTGACATTGACATTCTGTTTGTATACCCTTAGTAAAATCTCAAAGATTTTAGAAGAGAGATCATCACATTTCTACCAAAAAATAAGAAGCAAGAACTTTACTTTTTTTTTTATTAATTAGGCTATTACTGGAAGATAAAGTGACAATGCATAATACTAATACTTATATCATTAATAAATCCACTTCAAACAACGGCTTACTAGAAATGGAATTCAGCAGTAATGTGTCTCGTCTGAGAAAGAAGCCTCAGAATAGATGCTGCAGGAGGCCACAGAAGAACAAGCGGCGGGAGGATTGTAAGTGCAGAACAGATGCTGCAGCTGTGAAATGAAGAGCTGTCACATCCAGCGAGCACTTCCCTGAGTACAGAAAACACTTGGCACAGCAGAAATAAATCATGTGCTTGCGTGCTTTGCTGGATGATTGTATTTTTTTATTTTATTTTTTTTTTTGAAAGAGGAAGGATGTTCTCTGCAGTTCCAAAATCCAGCTTATGTGACGAGACGATTCGGTCAGCGCTCTTTTTTTCTGATGTGTCCGTTCCGGCAAACTGACTTTTTAATGTCCTTGTTAAATGAAGAGTCTGAAACCTAATGCTGTGTTGAAACTCAGTGAGCTCAGATATGCTTACAATGCTGAAAAATAGACTCATGGACACATTGCATGTATAACCTGTCACTTGTGCATTCAATGCTATGTGAATTATAGCATCTCTTTTACATCAGTAATTGCAAGTGTCTTTCCGCTCTGGTTAAAACAAAAAATAAAATACTTGAAGTTCAAATAACCTTTATCTAATTTGTTTTGTGATTTTTTTTTTCCTGAGATAACGGCATGGTTGTACATTGGTCATTCTCTGAAGAGAGTTATCAGCTAAAGTGTCACAATTTAAGGCCTATAACCGACAAACAAATTAATTTGTATATACTTATATTCATTTGAAACAACTTAATAAACTTAAATTCACATATTTTTATCTATACTTTGTCAATTTTTGAGTCGGTGCTCTATCCTTACTGTTGAGGATAGAGGGGCTTTATTCATTTTCTCTGTTTTGATTGGATGAGGGGCAGCAGAAGGATGGGCTTGTCCAGCGTTCCCTCTGTTCAAACCACACAGGTCAAAGGATAGGTCAAGGTAAGTTAAACATATTAATACATTTTTGCAAAAGTACACATATCCTTTTGTCTTTAAGAAATGTATTGATGTTAAAACCAGGGACGTCCATCTGTTTTCTTGGGACTTTATACTGTAGATCAGCACAAAGCCGGGAATAATTCTGAAAAGGAACTGAAAATATACCTTTGTTTTTTCTCTGCATTCTGTCCCCTGAAGCTCTTATTTTCACAATCTGTCGTTTTAACTAGATTTGCACATATAGATATCAAAATCACACATCCGTTGGTTCAAGCCCGGCTCCGGCTTTCAGTGTCATTGAGTCTTTGGACAAGAAACTTCACCTGCATGACCTACTGATGGTGGTCAGAGGGAGTGGTGGCGCCTTTGTACGGCAGCCTCGCCTCTGTCAGCCCTGCCTCTTCAAGTTGTGGCTACAACCAGTTTCTCTAGTCATGCTGCTAAAAAAGCAACAACACTGCATGATGCTGCCACTACCATGTTCCACCCTGGAATGGTGTGCAGTATTTTCCCCACCCAAAATCTCTTTGCATTTCTAGAAAGTCTCATTTCCATCTCATGTGTATAAAGCACATTTCTCTATGTGTTTTTTTCTCTCCATTAAGCTGCAAAGCTGGTGGCATACTTACAAAAGTAAAATAAAGGCTTCCTTTAAGCTATGTACTCTGTCAACATATTTTCTGCAGGTCCCCCAGAGTTGCTATAGGTGTTTATATGGAAATGCAATTGGTCAATGGTCTTTCCTTCTGATCTTCACGTTTCGGGGTATGATCATTTATTGGTATGTTTTAAGTAACAAGTTATATACTGTTTAAGATGACCTATTACACTAGAAGGTACATTAAGATTTGATTTTATAACACATAAATATCTCACAAAAAAAGTGTTGGGTGTATCAACACTTGGTCACCCTGTATGCAAGATTCTGTATTGAGCTTTTATTATATGTTGAGCAGGTTTTCATTTGACGATTTGATCTAATCTTTTTTAATAATTTTTTTAATCATAATTTGAAAGGTGGTCCTACAAACTGTCTAGGCGCAATTCTATTAAACAGGAAAATTATTATTTTCTTATCTCTAAATAACAGAAAGATATAGGCTAATTGAAAACAAATGCTCAAAGTAAGTAGAAGGATAATTACGGAAAAGCAAAAGGAGCTTAAAAAAAAGAAAAGAGAAGCCCGACTTTCAATATCATTGTATGAAAAATTCACACTTGATTTGTTTATTTTGTTGTTTTGTTTTTGTTTGTTTTGTTTTAGGGGGGTATAAGTTAACTTGAAATATGGATTGTTCTGCCCTTATACTGTTTTAAAAATGAATGTCAAGAGTTAATGATGTGAATGAAGCAAACTGCTGTAGGCTACTTGGAAGTTATCAGTGATTAGAAAGGGAATTGTAAATTTGGGCGAATTGACAATGAAATGATGGGGAAAACATGAATTCAAAGGCAATTGGCCCAACAATGCCATGCAAGTAAGAGGGTGAATATAGGTTGTCGCAACTGAATTATGCGTAAAACTAGAAAAACTCCAAATCATTTACATGTTTACCTCAGATCACTTCACTATATATCTGCATAAACCTGCAGCAGTTGTTTGGAGGTTTTTTTATTCTTTACCTTTTATTCCTCTGGGCCTCCTTCTTATCCATCACCACCGGGACGCAGTTGGTGAGCTCGGTCCAGTCTGCGTGCAGCCCGCAGCTCCAGCCTGTGGAGAACCGGGAGAAGAGCCAGGACTCCTCTTTGCCCGGCCGGTGACAGGTGCACTTCTTCTGGCCGGGCTTGCAGTCGCACGGCTGTTCCAATCGGATATTCCTCACCAGGTGCCTACCGAAAGTGGTCCCTCCGGTCTTCTGGATGTGCAGGAACACGATCACGTCGTCTCCTTTGATGTTGAACTCCACGCGCCTGTCCAGGTCTCTCTCGGTGAAGTTGAATTTGTACGGCAGACGTGGCGGACCGTCATCGTCCAGATCGGGATCTCTGTAGAAGTCGTCCGTGTCCTGATAAGGGGAGGAAAGCAGGCTCACCCCTCTGAATCTCTCCCCGGACTTAAAGTGGCATGAATTGCTGCCCGCAGGACATATGTACTGATAACCTATCATAACAAAAAGGACAGCCAAGATGGGAACCAAGATGAGCTTGCTGGATCTCTCATCCATTATATCTTAGGATAGTGTTTTCATTCCATAACTGTAAATATCAGCTGTTCGGATGGAGATCACTATTCATCCATGCCCTCCTTTATTTTATTTAAACAGCCACATGTTGATTTATCGCCCTCCGGACACGCGTGATGCTTTTTAAAACGATCCACGCCGTCTGCTGCGCGCTGCCTGGAGAATGTCCAAATCCAAGAGTCATGGCACGCAAATCTCTGACTGTCCAACTTCTGAAGCCGATCTGAAGCTGCATCCGCTTCGATCACTCAAATGAAAGTGAAAAATAAAGAAGAATAAAAGCTATTAGAGAGAGTTTTTAGTTTTGCTCTCTTTCACCTTTACAATTCTGCTCGGACAGCAGCATCCTGCCTGAATGGAGGGACTGAGTCTCTGCCTGGCTGAGCTAAAAGCACTGCTCTCTGAGAGAAGGAGGATGCTGCTGCTGCTGCTGCTGCTGCTGCATCCTGCCCTCATCATAGATAGACTGGGGGAGAGCTTCCCATACCATATCCTATCCATCACTTAATCTTGTTTTACAGAGAGCAAACCCAGAAGCACAATAGTTGCCAAAATAAAGATTGGAAACCCTCATTTAGATACCCAAATTCTTTGATGCCCAACTTTTTTGAAGCGCATCTATCTCACCTTTGAAGATTAGAACAAGAAGATATCTATGAAGAGATCTATAATCAGTAGTAGCAGTAAAATTAGATGGCAAAGTCTGAAAAATCTACAAATCAAAATGTTTCTTTCATTTGTATTCAGCCCTCAGGGTAATTTTGATAAACCATCTTTTAGTGCTTTAAATCCTCTTGGCTTTTTTTTTGATGTGGGCTATCACAATGTCTATTACTTCACATGACTTGTAAAATGAAATTTTAGTGTAGTTCCATGGTTTCTAATCTGGCAAAACCCACATTGTCTTTGAAAAAAAAAACTATTGTAACTCTGGCAGTATGTTCTGGATCAATGTTCTGATAGAGGGTAACTCTACACACCATCTTTAATTCAATTCAGTTTATTTATATAGCGCCAATTCACAACACACCTCATCTCAAGGCATTTTACAGTTCACCAGATCATCCAGTCAGATTGATTCAAAGTTTTCTATCTAAGAAAAAAAAGTTGATTGCTTCAACTCATTCACTCAAATGCAATCCCTTACTCTAAGCATGCTTGTAGCGACAGTGGAGAGGAAAAACTCCATTTTAACAGGAAAAGACCTCTGGCACAGTGTGAGCGGCCATCTGCAGAGGCTGACTGGGGTTCAAGGAGACAGAAGCAGAGATACAAAAGGCAACTGTAAAAGGCGGCCCCATCCAGGAAACACACAGCTCCGAGCCAGCTCCCATGTCAGAGGATGAAGAGGGCACATCTTCTGCCTCCTCTAACATGCTTTCTTCCAGGACTGCCCTTTAATTAGGCTGAGTAATTTTCCCTTCATCTGACCTGCTTCTCTGTTTAGAAAGATGCCTATAGAAATCTATCACCCACCACAGTGTAACAAACCATAACAGTATCGAGACATAGTGGTGGAACCTACCCTACATAAATCTCTCTCGTCCTATCTTTTTTGCCAGTTTTAATATTCCTAACAAAGCAATTAGAATAAAATAGAAACCACAGATCATATAACCACCCCACATTGCTCCCCGGGCGCCCCACAATGGCAGCCCACTGCTCCCCAAGGGGATGGGTTAAATGCAGACAGTTCATTTCATTGCTCTTTACTTGTAGCAGTGTAATGACAACATAAAATATGGAAAAAAAAAGAAAAATATCAATGACAAAATAAGCCACAAAGAGATATAACCAAATTAGATCATATATGGTCAAACATTTCAATGAAAAATGTAATTAAGGAGTACAGTTGTTTAAAAATATTTACAAAAAACGTCTTACTGTTGGTAAAACATACTAATTTCAGTGGTTCATATCTAAATGCCTTAAAGGAATAGTAGACCCAAAACATGATTAGCCTTCATTTTCTACTCACCCCCATGCTGAACAACACTCTGGAGTA